ATGCACATATACTCTCTTCCATTAATGGTAAGCTGAACTAAGGGCTTGAGAAACATATCGGGAGAACACAAAGAGCCAGCTGCTGTGTGCCCTGGGCACCCGTATTGGGGCATTTGGACGGCCCCTGGGGCCTGATGCTGTCCAGTTGGTGGAGGGGGATAAGTTTCATGTCCATACTGAGGAACCCCTGCTTTAGGCAGTGGGTAATGTGGGCGTGGTGGTGAGTTGTTATACGGGCACTGAGCAGCCTAATGTCCGTTTTTTCCACAAAGGAAACAGGCATCCCGTCTTCCCGGGCCTTTATAGTTCCTATTACGCCCCCATCCTCCCTTATTAAAATAGGGCCTGTTGGAAGTGAGCTGGGGGTTGGTGCTGTGTAATGAGTGGATGGTGGCTGGAACACTGGAGGAAATTGAGAGAGCGGTGCCTGCTGAGGTAGCTTTTTGGAGGAGGCTTTAAGCAGGTTAACTTTGTCTCTCATTTCCTTCAGTTGTGACTTGGTCACCTGTGTCTGCAGGTTGGTCAGGTCTTTTCTTTCCTGTTCCTGTTGCTCTATTTCATTGTTAACATGGTGAATGACATGAGCCGACCCTTGAGAGTATGGCAGCTCAGACAGCCCAACGACTGCTTTTAATGCAGTTTGAACAGCAGGAGGCAAAGAAGATTCAACTGCTCCTCTGAAAAGCAGTGTCATTGTTAGCAGGATCATCTCCAGTTCTCTCTTGCCACATGCTTTTAACTCGCAGCAAATATGCTGAGCCTCTTTCACCTTCTTCAGGTGGGATTTTGCAAAGTTCAGTTTACAGTGGCGCACACTCTGAGCGTCTCTTCGTCAGACAGCCCCCGTCGGAAGCTGCTGATGTTCACTATAAGAGCGTCTCTCGGCTGCAATTTCTCGTCAGCAAATTACAGCATGCTCCTTATCTGAACGTCTCTTCGTCAGTAACCCACTGCATATTCTTAAACCGAATATACTGGCAGTAGATTAGTGATGCTCCGCAATACTATTTACACTTAACAATTTAGAAGACAACCTTAAAAGGTCATTCACCAAGAATTTATGTCTTTTATGAGGCCAAAACGCAAAGGACTAGGACACTTATTGACTTTCCCTCACGTGAGAAATATGTGCTTGTGAACTCTACATGTAACCAGATTCAATGCAGTAAAACATTAATAAAACTCGAATAGTAAATGACATTTAGCAAAATAATGAATTAAATTTGACAGATCAGATGCCATCTTCAAACAGACACTTCATAATTTAGATTAGCCAATATGCAGAAATTCTCTATGGAATAGAAAAGGTTTTCTGCTTACCTTTTGTTTGACGTGGCCACAAAAGTGTCTGGCTGGAGACTTCTACAATCCTCTCAGATGGTTCTTCAACCAGAACGTCTGTTGGAGCCAATGTTCAGATCCGGGTCTCACGGCACCAATTTTTAACTACTGCTGGTTCTTTTATCTGAAGGAAATTCACATATATCTTCTCGGGCTGGGACTGCCCTGTACATGAGTGGAAACTCATATTATTTTTTAATCTGTTGACTCAACACTCACAACATGAACTGGACACGCGGTTCATACAAGGTTCATACAGATATGAACTCATATTATCTTCTAATCTGTTGGCTCTACACTTACAACATGAACTGGACACAAGGTTCATACAAGGTTCATGCAAATGTTCTAGAATGTTCGAATAAGCAGCGTGTGTGTGTGTGTGTGTGTGTGTGTGTTGGTATTTTCAGGCGTTTCTGAAAGTAGACATGCAGTTAGCATCTTATCTATAGTTTTCAGGATGACACTTATCTCTGCAATCAATTTATGCACATTTCACCAAGAAGACAAGAAATACTACAAGTTGTCTCAAAAACTGACTATTATAATTATAATGCATGCAGAAGAGCCAGGTTAATACTGATACATGGAGCTGTTAATGAAACACAGACAAATAGTCATACAGAACTGTTCCATTATAAAAGCAAAATAATACTGATGATAAGTAGAAAAATAACTTTAACTCCTGAAATCCAATCCTAACACATTGCAGGGCCAACACGCAGACAAACAACCACTCACACATTCACTCCTACAGGCAATTTAGACACGCCAATCAACCTATGCTGCATGTCTTTGGACTGTGGGAGGAAGCCAGAGTACCTGGAGAGAACCCATGCAGGCACGGGGAGAACATGCAAACGCCGCACAGAAGGGTCGCAAACCCACAACCTTCTCGCTGTGAGGCAACAGCGCTAACCACCATGCCACCGTGCTGCCTTGACCAAATATCGTAGAATTATTTTTGTTTCTGTTTTCTAACAAGCGGGTTATTTTATATAATTGTATTAAGAAAATAAGCTTTGGGGACACAATGGATTAAATGAAGATTGAGGGTTCTCCATGGCATGTCACTATTAGACAGTCTATCATCACTTCCTTGCTATATATCTCTCATCTTCCTTCCCTGCACTGCCTGCTAACTCACTTCGTACAGTGAGACCTCAGAAGGCTTACACTGTGCCGTCATCCTCAGCCATAACAATAGCCATTAAACGATATGTCATTGCCGACCTGGGGGCAATGTCATCCATTCTGCAGACCAGCCTCGCGATGCAAGGCCGGTCCCATTGTGCTGATGGTTTTACAATCCATTGAATAAGTGCTTGTATGGCTGGTCGACTGATATATGGTCTCATTATATTGTTTGATGGCTGTGGTTGAGCTAGGTGATTATACTGCTGATAAACCGCAGCGAATGAGGGGTCTGATAGGCTGATTATACAGTAGGCTCATTAAGACATGTATTAATCAGGGGCATTGACTTCCTTTGTGTGCTGATGTGTGTTTTGTGGTTGATATGTGCCTTATGTATGTGTATGTGAGCTCTTCTCTGATCATTTGATGTTCATATACAGTGCGTATAAAAAGTATTCAGCCCCTTTTTTTGATTTTATAAATCATTCATGGCCGATATACAGTAATTTGGCTTTTTTGTAAAAAAAAATAACAAAAAATCCTCTTTAATGTCAAGGTGAAAACAGGTTTCTCCAAAGTAATATCAATTAAACAAAAATATGTAATGTGAAATAAGTGACTGCCTAACTATTCACCCCCTTTAAAATGACTGATCTAATTCAACAGAGGTCTCGCCAACTGGTGCTAGTAGTCTCACAGTTAGAGAAATGGCAGCGAATGTGTCTCTTGTAGGATAAAGACACCTGTGTCTGGAAGCTCCAGTCACTGGTTAATCCGTATTCCTGGCTACCATTATACCATGAAGACAAAAGAACACTCCAAGCAGCTCAGAGAAAAGGTTATTGAAAAGTACAAGTCGGGGGATGGATACAGAAAAGTTTCCAAGGCACTGAACATCTCCAGGAGTTCAGTTAAATCCATGATCAAGAAATGGAAGGAATATGGCACATGTCTAAATCTCACAAACTGAGTGACCGTACAAGAAGGAGACTAGTGAGAGAGGTCACCACAAACAGACCACCCCCACTGTGAAGCACGGTGGTGGCAGCATCACGCTGTGGGGATGCTTTTCGACAGCCGGCCCTGGAAGGCTTGTAAAGGTAGAGGGTCAATTGAATGTGGCAAAATATAGGAAAATCCTAATCCTAGAGGACAATCTTATTCAGTCTGCAAGAGAACTACGGCTTTGGAGAACATTTGTTTTCCAGCAAGACAGTGACCCGAAGCATACAGCAAAAGCTACACAGACATGTCTTAAAGACAACAAGATGAGTGTTCTGGAATGGCCAAGTCAAAGCCCACACCTCAATCCAATAGAGAATTTGTGACTGGACTTGAAAAGCCCGATCCCCACGCAACCTGGAAGAGCTTGAGCAGTTTAGCAAAGAAGAATTACAGTGTCCAGATGTGCAAGCCTAACTGAGACCTATCCACACAGACTCAGCTACTAAATACTGACTTGAAGGGGTGAATATTTATGCAACCACTTATTTCAAATTACATATTTTTCACTTTGACATTAGAGTTTTTTTCTAATTTTTAAAGCTACATTATATTGACCATGATTGATTTATAAAATCAATAAAATGGTAAAACATCAAAGGATCTGAATACTTTTCATAGGCACTGTAAGCATGAATTTTCAAGTGCTGTTTACTATACTGTACGTGCATGTGTCTGCATATACAGTATATGTGTTCCAGGATGTGTGTTGTCTGGTTGAATTTATGTACTGTATGTTTGTGTATATCTGCATGTGTGGTTCTTCGGCCCTTCTGGCTTAGATCCTTTCACAACTCTTTTACAGGTGCCAGCTCTTGCTCTTTATATTTAGTAGCTGAGGCTTTGTTGAGGACTAGTGGTGAGACAGGTGGCTGGCCGGCCAGCTGCTGGGATGCTGTTCAGTGTCAGCTGTTACTGGCAGTCAGGCAGTGCGGAGGAGGCTTGTCATAACCTCGAATTTGAATTGTTTTGTATGTGCACAGCTGGTGAGCTGCTACTCTTTGTCGGCTGTGATAGCAGCTGACACCAGACTGTGATTTGTTTAGTGGTGGGCACGCTGCAGTCCACATTGGTAACTGCCAGTTCCAACAGAACTTCACTTTCACACCCCTGAATTATTTGTGTTTCATAAATGCATGTGTGCATTGCAAAATCATGACTATCAGGACAGGACAGTCATTGTTTTTTGGCTGCTTATTTATTTGCTACAAATAAACCTTGTGTTCACCTTGTATTGTAATTATCTTTCCAAGACCTGCTTTTTACATAGAGTATTATTTTAAATGGAGCAGTCTCACCCTGCAGCACACACCCAACAGCACCCAAGATGTGTTTGTAGCACTCAGACTCCCAAGAGTAAGAGGTTAAACATATTTTGATTGGAGCCAAATAATGGCACACGTCAGGTTTAGCAGTTTCACAACAAAAGCAGTAGCTGTGAGCTTCTCCTGGTTTTGGCACTAGTTGCTATGAAAGGAGATGGCGAGAATGAGAAATACTGTGCGTGTGTGTGTTGTCAGCTGGTGGAGCCCCTGACCCCCAGTGGAACGGCCCCTAACCAGGCTCAGCTGCGGATCCTGAAAGAGACGGAGCTGAAGAGGGTCAAGATTCTGGGCTCGGGAGCTTTTGGAACAGTCTACAAGGTCACTGCATGAGTTTGCATTTATAAGTGCCTGTTTATGTTTGTGTGCATACCTAATTCTCACCTCAGTCCTTGTTCAAACATGCAACTGCCAAATTATAAATCAAACATCAGTCAGTCCACTGAATGGTAAAGAAGGCAATCAAGCCCACAGTTTCATTCAGTAGATACTGTACTCTCACTAGGAGAAAAACCCTGCTTGACAACTTAAACAATAAGCATAAACATTTCCCTTTGTAACAGTGCTTCTTGACAGATGTGAGCCTAGGGCGGCTCAAGGACCTGGAATGGAAACTGTTGTTTGCTTGCCAACTTCACTGCCCTTGGCAAAATTATTCATACCACCCTGAAACTCAGCAAACCCAGTGAATAAATACTGTGCTTTCTACCACTAGCTCTAAATTGTTCTCAACTCTAGTATTGATGGGCCTGTTTAATTTTATGAGTGGTTTGTCATGAATTTATAGCTATATTATTATCCACAGCTCTTTACTTGTCTCAGGTGTTTGGATTTAAGCCCTTTAAAGTGAATAAAATGTTATATATTTTAATTCTCTTTTATCATTACTTTATTGAAGGTGCTCAGTCTCACCTGAGAACAAGCAACTCTATTAATAAATGTATTTATTTATTTTAACAATGGCAAATGCTGTCATGAGAGCACTGTTTTGACCACAAAAATACAAGAATAAGGCTCATGCTTGTGCAAACACTGGTTTGGGTGAATCAGACCTGAAGAGGAATATTAGCAGGACATCATTAAACACAGGCAGCACCCATCAAAATCAGCATGTGTGAGACTCCGTACCATGCATTTATTGTGATTGCTTATATATTACAGGGCATCTGGATCCCAGAAGGTGAGACGGTGAAGATCCCTGTGGCCATTAAAATCCTCAACGAGGCCACTGGTCCTAAAGCCAATGTGGAGTTCATGGATGTGAGTATTTATATGTATTTATATCACAACAGCTTGCGTCTATTTTAATCTGTGTATTCATGTTTGTGTGACTGAGCAGTAAAGCCTTTGCCTTGTCAAAGAAATGTCCATGCTTGTCACTGTGTGGGATTGTTCATTTGGCGGTAAATTCTTATGAGAGCACTATCTCAGTCAGAGCCAATAATAAAGTGAACTCCACTATGCAGTGCAGCCAGGCATGTATTGAACAAGACGTTATTAAAAACAGCACTTGTTTATGAGATATGGCTTTACTAGAATCCAGGAGTGATCAAGGGGAGAAGAAGAACAGGAGGGGAGTAAGCCGAGGAGTTTTCAGTTCTTCCTATCTTTGTCTTTGTTTTTGCTTTTTCCATTCTACTTTTCTCCACATTTCACACATTCCAGGTTTCACAACTGTCATGTTTTTAATTATCACAAGGTTCTTTTTTTATATCATTTTGAATGTCAGAATTTTCATCACCTCTTCTTTTAACTCCCTTTTGTGTCCTGCTTTGACAGTGTGCATCAGACTGCATTACAATAGTGATCAGTTGTGGCCACAGCAGCTCTGTAAACTGAATGGCACCAAAAATCAAGTGATGCTAAATTTATTCTATCTTCTGCATCAGTTCCAATACTTATTTTTCCTTCCTCTTCATTTCTTCATCAACAGACACAGGTGCTGCAACATGGTTGTACTTCTACCTTCTACTTCCCTTTCTGCCCAGTTTCTCCCCTCCTGTCTTCCATCTGCCTCCCTCCTCTCTTCTCTTCCCTCTCTTCCTCGCTTCCTGTTTCTCCCAGTGGGGGTCTCTGTGTCCATCCAGAGCCAATATGCACTATCTGCTGGCTTGTTAAACAGCAATCTAAAGGCAGGCTCACGCCTCACCACTGGGAAACTAGCCACTGGAGTGCCAGCTCCAAACGCACTCAGAAAATATACACACACACACACACACACACACACACACACACACACACACACAAATATACCAAATAGCGCACACTTTACAACAAAAGGGTCCCCATGTGGTCTCGCATGTGAGAGATGCAGCCTGATTTGCTTTTGTACACAAATATGTGAATTTGAGCAAGTTGACAATGCAAAGGTCTAATAATAACTCATTTTGTGTTTTTTGATGCATACACACATGTGCACTTTCACATACACACACGCGCGCTTGAACGTGCATCAGCTTTGCAGGGCTCTGTCAGTCTATCACTAAGTGTGTGTGTGTGTGTGTGTGTGTGTGTGTGTGAGTGAGGGAAAGTGAGCAAATGAACTGGATGGGAAAGGCAGGTCAGCTGGCAGTAATAGAGGTCAGCGCTCAGGGAAATGAGGGAGAAACCAAAACACACGCACACACACACTCATCCTCATAACATGTGGACCCAGAGTAGAAAGCAAGAGCAAGAGTTTAGCCTAACATAGTTTATGACAGCAGGGTCTTTTAGGATAACCGAGTGAGAATAAATACACTCTCTCCATCTTTCCGTTACACACACTACTGTCCTTTCTCCCTCACTTTTCCTCCATCCCTTGATCCCGGGATGTGTGGTGCAGAGGTGGCTGCAGTTGTATAATGTTGAACATTTGGGGGGTAGCAGGTGGTTTTATGAAGTGGAGATGTAGTGGCACTACTTGGGGCCGGGAGGCTCTGTTTAAATCAGGGCACTGATGGTGCCAAAAGCCTCTCTATGGCCTATTGCCTCCCTCCTGTTGAGAATTAATCTACTCACACCCACACCACCACTCTCTCCCTCTTAGCTCATTCTTTAGCATCTAAATTTAAAAAGGCACCTTATCTATCTATTAGCTGCCCCAGGGCAAAGCCTGGATATACACCTCCACGACCGTTATGACCATTTGCCATATGTAGAGACTGTGAGAGAGAGCGTGTGTCCTTGAGTATGTGAACATGCATGTTTTAGAGAGCTGCCAAGAGAGTGTGTCTGCATGTGAGTGCATGAATAAGAGAGTGTGTGAGAGAGGCACTAGGAGATGAGGAGAACGGCTGAAGTGAATGTTTATAAGCAATGACTGAGCACAGCTTCTGCTCGGCCATAATGCATATACACGCTGGCCACAAGTACCAGCCCTCGTCATCATAGCACTTCATCACCACCACACATCTTTCTGCTTGCAGCTTTGCAATAACAATTACCCAACGTCCCAAATGCTCAAACCTCTACGTCCATCTGTTGCTGAGAGAGATGAGAGGGAAGCCAGAAAATGCACTTACACGCCAAATCAAACAAGAGAGAATATTAAAAGTAGCCCGTGAAATCAGACACATAGTGGCTTCTGGAATTATCAGTGTGTGTGACTCACATTTTGGTGGTTTAATTGTGCTGGTGCAACATTTAATAATATTTTAAAGCATAGATGAAAAAGGATGGGTTTGTGCAGGTTTCTGCAGGATATTCTCTCCCAGTGAGATACTCTGTGGACCGGTGCTGTGCATGCAGATAGTCATCATCCCACAGGTCTTAACTTGTGCATCTAACTCTATGTCCAGTAGGAAATCTTTGGAATACACTGCAGTATTATTTGTTGATAATAGATGTATGGACAGACACATAGAAGTCTACTTTACAAACAGAACCTAATACAGCTCTGTAGAGTGAATATTTATACCAGTGGTTCCTAGCTTTACAGCCAGGAACCCTCTGTGGTCCTAGAACAAAGAAAAAATAGCAGAAGGTCACAACATACTTCTGTTACACAAAATAGTGTATAATCTAATTTTTTTAGTTTTTAAAGTCTTAAGGATTCTAAAAGCAGAGAAAAAATCAACTCACACATTGGTTGAAGCGCTAATTTTGGGGAAAGCAGTGGAAATTTGGCCATAGCCAGTTTCGACAATACATACAGCAACCATCATAAAGCTTAAATTCAGTTTCATGCTCTGCTAATGGCAAGCAGATGCTAAAGATTACATTGATAGGAAAACTGTTTTCACAGTCTACTCCTTGAATTGATAGACTTTTGGATTTCAGATCAGTTTTTGATCAACTGCCAACTATAGCAATGTGTTTTCTTCACAAATTTAGCAACAAAGTGTTACAAATTTGTTACAGCTCTGAATTTCACCTGTCTGGCTTCTTCTCTATAGCCATGGAGACTGAGGCTCTTGGGTACTGTAGTGTTTAGAGCTCTTCACTATCCAAAACCTGTGGGAAAATACATTATTTCTCAGAAATACAGGTGAAATAAGAACAGTTTAAAATTGGAATATGTTCAGACATGTCAGCACTCAGCTTTGCATGTGGTGTTGGATCACTTCTGATCCTCAAAACTCATAATAAAGCACCTGATACCTGCTAGGTGAAGAAAATTAAAAATGTCAAGTAGCAGAATTGTTTTGCTTGGAGGAAATGGGTAGTGTACTTCTGCATTCTCAGCCATGAAATGCAACAGTTGTCTTAGTCCATCTTTGTCCTTCCCCCTGCTCTTACCCAGGAGGCTCTGATCATGGCCAGCATGGAGCACCCCCACCTGGTGCGTCTACTGGGTGTTTGCCTGAGTCCCACTATTCAGTTGGTCACCCAGCTCATGCCCCACGGCTGCCTCCTCGACTACGTGCACGAGCACAAGGATAACATCGGCTCACAGCTGCTGCTCAACTGGTGTGTCCAAATCGCCAAGGTAAGTAGCTACAGTCAGGTCACAAGTGGATAACATCTGGTGGTGCTGTAGCATTGTTTCTGTGTCGGCAAGGTGTGAGAGCTGTAATATTTTTTATACTGTTGTTGATGTCATTCAAGTTTGCCTCTGTACCCAGCCTGGATTTGACTGATGGTGATATATAGCAGGTTGCCAAGTCCTATGTGAACCCAAAATAGCTGAAATTCTTATTTTAACAGCTTTCAGAATGGTTTTGAAATGCTACAGTACCACAAATGTCCCTGCTTTGTGTGATCTGTCAGATTTTACCTATTCAGGCTTCCATTGCTGTTGTCCAGGTTTAGTGGCATAGTATCAAGACCTACATTATGCTAACTCAGATGAATCATAAAGAGTCAGAAAACAGCAGTTGTATGTTTGAAAACCCGTCATTTTGAAAACAAATACACTTTGTGTCTGATTGTTTTGTATAAATCACTTCCAACCCCCCCCCCTCCCTTTTGATCCTAATTATCCTCACTGCTTGGCAGATTGATCATTTTCACCATCTTTCAGCAGGCGAGCCTAGTTTGCTTTGAACTCTGTCTTACAAGCACACCAGGACACATTATTTTGTCAGGATATGAGTGTTGGTGCAAGAGAAGAACAAATTAATGACCCAGTCTTTGTTACCAAAACAAAATCTGCTCATGAATCACTGAAACAGCAGTAATGCTTGAAATATTGTGTGCACGTTTGCTTACCCAAATAGCATTTGTATTTTGTTTGCAAATTAAGTCACTGCAGCACAACTGCTTAATAGTGTAAATGCCTGGTAAGATTTAACTCTGAGTTATAACTCCAGGATGGCAGTAGGATGCTGAGTTGCTATTACATGTTATGTCAGCAGACATTTGCTGTGATACAAAGACATATTGTCTCAACTGTGGGAGCAGTAGCAAAAAAAAAAAAAAAGATCTGACAAAAGGCTGACTTTGGCACTGAGCAACCTGAATGGATTTTAGCCAAAAAAAAAGAGGGGAAAAAAGTTTTTACCAGAGTTAAAATTGCTGCTCTCCAAGTTTGCTAATGTGTATTATGAAAATATGTGGTTCTGCCTATTGAGGTTTAAGTCAGTTATCAGAAAGCTACAGATATATTTAACCAGTTATAGCCACTACCACTGCTGCACTGGTGAGTACAAAAGGGGACCATGCAGCCTCACCTGTATTCCATTTACATTTAACCACTTCATGCATCTCAGGCATATTGGATAGCTTCTGTATTTCAGTGTCTTGCTCTTACTCCACCCATGCAAGTCATCCATTGTGTTGGTTTTAATAGTTAAACTGGTGTTATTGCAACTAAACTGCTAAAACTGCACAAGTTGTTGTTCTTCTGGCTTCAGGTGCTTTACCATCCTCTTGGCCGGTTTTGGATGTAGCCTGGGAAAACCAAGATGGATGAAATCAGATTTGTGATCTGGCAAGCTGAGACACATATGGGGCTAAATGTAAACAAAAGATTATTAAATGGCATCTGGATTTTTCCTAATATGGACACTTAAAGTGGCAGATGCAAAGGCCTCATTTAATCACAAAAGACACAGTGCTGCTTTTAATTATTAACAGTCAGGTTTTACTGAACTTCTCATCAAAGGGTTTTGACATAAATTTGTTTTTAAGGCAGTGTTGTGACCATAGAGTCTCTTACACTTAAGTAATATTGTATAATAAAACTAAAGTATGAAACACTTAAGACAATCAGTGATCATTTTCAAATATAAGGGGTCAACAGCTGACAACATGTATTACTGTCTTACAAAATGACACCCTACCATGAAAAGTTAATGTTCACAAACAACTGCTGAAAACTCTTTGATAGACCATTCTTTAGGTAATGTCCTGTTTCTAAAGCACCCCTTTGTCAGTCACACTGTTGGTCATCATTAGAGATAATGTACTGTCTTTCTCTATCTGAGTCACTAATCAGAGCTTTGATGAGGTATGGGTTAGTGTGGCCTGCAGTAGGTGATTCCCAGGAGCATGAGGAACAGGTTACATAAGCAGGTACTTAATGCCATAATTGGTTTCGATTTCACCTGTAGCAGCAGAAGGGGAAGCATCACTTTGTTAGCAGTTCCGTAAGTGAGGAAGAGCAAGAGTAAGTCCTTAAACCACAAAGACTTGTGACTGTCTGTTAGGACAGTAAATAGGTTTTGTGATAGATAATAATAATAATGATATGTTTGGTCTGTGATATGTTTCAGATTAGATCAATTTACAAACTAAAATCAATAGTCAAAATGAAAATGTGTCTTTATCTCAAAGACCAGCAAGTATAACATTCTTGTAATGTGCACCAAAAAGTACAATTTGTTTGTTGTTAGGCTTTTTGTACCTGAGTTCAAAAGCCAACTCTCACACTTAGCACACAAAAGCAATTCTAACAGCTATGATTGTTGGCCAGTATATTTATGGCTCAGTGTGGTACATAACATTTACAGTAGTGCTTGGAATTATTCCAAGACCATCTTTTGGGGTTTAGCTCCTTGTATCACCTTCACTGATCCTTCATCACATAGCCCTGAGGTATTTTTCAAACCAGAAAATGACAGACGTTCTCTGTGGTGTGGTGTCCATCAGTATTTATGTCTCTGCATATATGTGTGCACTTTAGTGTCTCTCTGTGTGTATCTGAGCATATGCCCGTGTTTTGGGCATGTGAGCTGAATAAATAACTCTGCGTCCCCTTCTCTGAGTGATTTTTGCGCTCTCAGGGTAATGACAGGGAACCACTCCTCCAAGAGAAAGAGCAAAAGAGCATTTTTCGGAAGCCACACCGTTTTCTAGCAAAGGGAAAAATAATTTTCCCTCAGCCTTCAGTTAGCTTTGAAAAGGGTGTTTTTGTAGAGGATGGGAGAAAAGGAGAAAGGGAAAGAATGTATAAAAAGAACAGAAAGTGTTAAAAATATCTTTACAGCATAATGAAGGACCAAAACCAAAGATCTACAATGCCGTGTACTGTTTGCTGAACATATACCTAGTGGATACAGGTAGTATTCAGGGTATTTACTTACTTACTTATAATTAGCCAGGCTCTGTCCAAATGTAGCACAATCAGATTGTACACATTAAACAAATGAGATGTAATGTGTTAACTACAGAAATGCATTTTCTGAAGAAAATGCGTATGGATGCTGAGTGCTGAAAGATCGCCCTGAAAATGCTGAACATTTTGACACCTGAATGGTTTGGCTAGCTGAAAGTATGCTGAAGTAGAATTTTTCCATTCATTTGAATGGGGCAACATTTTCAAAATAAAGCTGAATATTACAAAAGGATTAAGTTTAGAAAAATTCTGAATAGAAGCATCAATGTCATTCAAGAGCTGAACATTTTAATAGCTGAAATAACTGAAATTATGTTGAAGTCAAATTTTTCCATTCATTTGAATGGGGCAAGATTTTCAAAATAAAGCTAAATATTTAAAATGTATGAGGTTTAGACAAATTCTGAATAGAAGCATGAATATCCTTGAGGAGCTGAACATTTTGATACCTGAAATAGCTGAAAGTTTGCTGAAATAGAATTTTCCCATTCATTTGAATGGGGAGAGATTTTCAAAATAAAGCCAAATATTTCAAAAAGTATGAGGTTTTGACAAATTTTGAATAGAAGCATGAATGTCCTTGAGGAGCTGAACATTTTAATAGCTGAAATAGCTGAAAGTATGCTGAAGTTAAATTTCCCCATTTATTTGAATGGGGTAAAATTTTCAGAATAAAGCTGAATATTTCAAAACTATGAAGTTCAGAAAAAATCTGAATGGAAGCATGAATGTCCTTGAAGAGCTGAACATTTTGATATCTGAAATAGCTGAAAGTATGCTGAAGATGAATTTCCCCATTCATTGCTCACTAATTGTATGGATGCTGACTCAGCATCCATACAATTAGTGAGCTGTAGAAGTGCTGACTGGTGAATTGGGTGACCTTTGGAGAAAGCCATGTGCTTAACTATTTTTAAGTTAAAATAACAGCCACAAAATTCAGAAATTCAATTTACTAAAGTAGAAATTTACAGATGGGAAGACAACATCAAACACGTTGAGGAATAACTGAATATTTTTAACCTTTTCTGTAACACAAATGGACAAAGCCATGATCATCATGGGAATTAAACATAATTGCATTCCATAGTTTCCTCTTCAGTAGCAAAACAAGGAAAACCTTTCCATTATAATTGTATATCACAAAGTGATCAACAGTGAATGAAGGTAAACGCAATTATGGACTTTTGGGTAAATATTTACTGCAGTAATATGTCTCTGCATATATGTGTGCACTTTACTGCAATAATATAGTGCAGTAGAATTATAATGCAGCATAAACCGGAAATACTGAAATGCACCTACTGGCGTTAGTTCCTTTCCAGAACTGCGTCTACATTGTACTGTTTAGTCAGATAGCAAAGCTACATCTTAACCACTCGACGCTCTGCTTGTCTTTTTCACCATAACGTTGGAGCAGTTTGCCAGTCCCCCACCACCAACGCCACAATTACAGCACAAATAGCATCCATATGCAGGTTCTGACCTGGGCAGGTGACCGCTGTGCTGCAAATTGATTGGCCGAGGCCTGTCACCAGGCAGTGACTCTTCATCACTGAGTGTTTTGGGCTTTGAGATAATGGCCCCCATTAATCTACAGTCACCCTCAGGACTGCCCCACTGCCACACACACAGTAACTGGTGCTCACATACAGTAACAACACACGGATTCACACAGAGGTCTCTTTAGATCCTTCTGAATAGGCTCTAATTTATTAGTTTTGTTTATCTTTCCTTTTTTGTCTTCTCTTTTCCTTAGTTTTATATATATTTTTTTACATTATTTCATTTCCTTATGTGTTGTATCCTTTCCTTGCCTCTTTTCAGTACTTCCCCTCTTCCTGTTTTCCTTTGTCCCTTGCCTTATTTGCTTCTCTATCTTTTCCTTTGTTCTCCTTTTCTCTTCTACTTTCATCTATTTTCATGTCCTT